TCCTTATTTACTTACTTTTGTTTATTCTCAAGAATAATTTTAGAGGTTATTTTATGTTCCCTTCTATATTTAATTTTTTTACTATATTTTCAAGAGTGGTTTTAGAGGTTATTTTACGTTTTATCTCTTATTTACTTACTTTTCTACTTTCTTTTCAAGAGTAGCCTTTGAGGTTATTTTACGTTTCATTCTGTATTTACGTACATTTCTACTTTCTTTTCAAGGATAATTTTAGAAGTTTTTTTACGTTTCATCTCTCATTTACTTTTCTCCTTCATTTTCAATCTATCAGTATTTATCGGGTACTCGTAAATATTATGTTAAATACATATAATAAAGTACAATTTATATAAAAATTATTAATAGTAAAAAAACAGTTATTTTAATGTATGTTATTAAATCATGTCATACTTTATTTTCGACATTCGTTATTTGATATAACCTAAACTTTAGTATTGTTGATATAAGTTACAGATAGCGAATTTATTTGCACATTTACAAATAGCAGCTACGTTAATATTTCAATATTTCTATTGCCGAACAACTATATTGTTGTTAGCAACATTTGCAAAGTACAAATCATTCATTTATTCTCCCTTTATTTCATAATAAATTCCATTCTGAATTTTGTATATATCATTTTTACTATTTTTTATTATTATTTGACTTTCTTATTAAATTATGTTAGGTTCTTCTTAGGTACAAGTACTGTTAAAAATATGACACTGTTTGGCACAAAAAGGTTTAAATTAATTTTTCAACTAATTTGTTTTCTCTTAACAAATCCGTATAAAAATTTATACAATGATGGATACAATTTAGAATAACTACTTTCGTATATGAATATTTGTAAGACTTATAATAGACATTTTAAGAAAACTACAAGAGAACTACAAAGTAAAACTGGCATTATATTAAAAATACATTAAAACCTTATTAAAGATACAATCTAAAAATAAATAAAAGTCTTTGTGTCTTTCAAATCTCCAAAACTCAAAAATAAAATTACAAAAAGAAAGGAAATAACTCAGAGTGGCAAACTGCATAGTATCACACAATTAAAAACTCGTCAAAATCTTGTTAAGAAGAGATAAGACATTATGTCCTAAATCTTTCAAAATCGGAAGTAAAATTTTAAAAAATGGCGACCTGAAGATTCTACAATACACTGCAATACAATTAAAAATGCATCAAAAGTTTGTTAGAAATACATTCTTAAAATGAATAAGACCTTATCTGATCAAGGTGGTCGAAGTGGTTAGAACAGCGAAACAAAAAGGCGAAATAAAAATTAAAAAAGGCAAGCAGAGAGTTAGTACATTTGTAGAATCAAGGGAATGCCTAACATATTTCCGTTGCCCTTAATACTCCCGAAATTTCCCATTATTTGTAAGCAGCTGCAGCAGGTGAGCCGCAACACGCGTCGGACAATCATTAATGCCGAGCGCGTATTATTTCATTTAGATCACATCTTGCCGGACAAATTATCGCCACGCACGTGTTTGAAGAGTCGCCTCGACATAAAGCCGTTTCGTAGATCTTCGAACGTTTCGATATCGAGTGAACAGCTGCCTGTAACTCGAATTTATTCCTTTTTCTCCTAAAGTATCGACTTGTTCATTTGTTTCGACCACTATTGAATATCACTCGTGTAAAAGTTCATTTGAATAAGAGCCCCTTTGCCGCATGATTTATTTGTCGGATGCGTCACAAAGAACTACTCGCTTCAATGTTAAAATTTATGTCTGTTCTATATAGTATATCATATTTGCTATGTACTTCTTGAATATGAACATAATTGGACTTAAACGTGGAATCAACACGTATTAAAAATTTGCATATTAGTAAGATTTATTGTGTTTGTGTGCGCGCCATGTGTGAAACTTGTCAAAGGGCGGAAAGAGGTTAACCGTCAATTGTTTATTCATTAGTCGAATTATATTTGATCATAGTGAGTGTGAAAAGCTGTTATCCATTGTGTGTTTTCTATTTATAATTACTATTTGATTAAGAAATGTTACTTATATATAAAATTCTGTAGTTACATTTTAGTATTTTTTGTAAGTGAACAATGTGCTGTATTTCAGTATTGTTTCTAAGTAAACACTGTTCTATAATCACATTTTAACATTCTTTAATAGTAATTAGTGTTGTACAATTACATTTCAGTATTGTTTATAAATAAACAATATTCTATACGTCAATTTCAGTACTATTTGTACGTAAGCAGTATTCTACAATTTCTGTTCGCTAATGTTTGCGAGTAAACAGTGCTCTATAGTTGCACTTTAATATTGTTTACAAATAAACTGTGTTGTACAGATAAATGTCAGTAATACTTGTACATAAACAGTGTTATATAGCAGCATTTCAGTGTTATTTGGTAGTAAGCAGTATTGTACAGTTGTGTTTTACTACTGTTTGTAAATAATCAACGTATAGTAATTGCATTTCAATATCGTTGTAACAAACACAGTATTGTTGTAAGTAATCAATATTTAATCATTGCATTTTAGTATTGTTTGTAAACAAATAATGTTGTATAGTTCCATTTGAGTATTGTCTATCAGTAAATAGTACTGTATAGCTGCATTTCAGTATTGATTTTTAGTAATTAGTGTTATATGGTTGCATTTCAATGTAGTTGGTACGTATACATATAATTTTCTATAGTTGCATCTCAGTATTTTATGTAAGTAAATAGTATTGTATAGTTCCATATCAATATTGTTTGTAATTAAACAGTGTTGCATAGTTCCATTTCAATATTGTCTGTAAATAAACTGTATTGTATAATTTTATTTTAGTATTGTTTATAAGTAATAAGTGTTGTGTAATTGTATCTCAGTAATGTCTGTAAACGAACAGTGTTTGACAGCTATTAACTTTCAAACTTATAAAGAATATTTCAAATACATAATGTTTTTTTACATACTTCTTATCACATTTGTCATTTGAAATTACAGTATTTGCATATCTAAATATTAACAAATTAGTATAACTAAATAAGTAATATTTATATAAGTATAATATTATACAAATAATAGATAGGCAAATAATTTAACATTGGTATCAGTTATAACCTCAAAACCACTGTTTGATAGTAACAAATTATGTTTCAACTTCACAAATAAAAAGAAATTATGTAAAAGTTTAAGTTTGCTTATTATTTTATTAAACAAATAAATAATTTCTAAAACTGAAATTGAATTTTAAAAAAAGTGGTTTATTGCGCTGAATATCTTTCGATTGTATATCACTTTAAAGAAATGATTACACGACGAACAATTCATAGAAATGCCACGCGTTGAAAAATTGATTTTTCAGTGAAATACAATTTGAATAACGCAAGAAAATCTTTATGTAAATATAACAGTTTTTGTAAATGCAATGGAAATGCGGGAGGCAGAGACAAACAGAAAGAAATTCTAAAAGCTTGAAAAGCTGTCCAAAGCAGAAACCAACAAGGGAGAAAAATGTGCCTGATTTGTATAATGGAGGCGAGAATAAGACATTGAAATTTAGTAAAAAGACCTGTACTAATTGAAATAATACGTACAACAAGAAATATTGATACTTATTTTCATGGTAAATCATTTTTTCGTTATTAAGAGACCATTTCGATGAATATTAATTTTGAAGCGACATTAACTTTTATCGGAAATATATCAGTTTCAATAAACTTATAATTCATAACCTATGAAAATAAATATTTCGATAAAAATGAAAAATTATTATTGACGTGTTCAATCTCGGGGTAACAGGTGTAGATTAATCGTGGTAAAGTGAAGGCATGCAAAGCATTTATAAATATTCAAAACGTATCTTTATAAGAGTCTGATCTAGCGTATTAAATACGTATAACCTTTTGTGAAGGTATTTTTGTTGTTGATGGACAGTTCTAATACTTGTTAGTTAAAAAGTTATTAAGGAAAATGTTGCAATGGTGAAACAATTAAAGAGACAGTTCAGATAATTTCTTTTTATTTAGATTTTCTTTTTTATTTAGAGATTGTAATCTTTTTACTTTTATTTAGATGAAATAAAATTATAATTAAATACCTCTAACACAATAAAATTTCTACTCCCGGATGAAATAAAAATTTTTACTAAAGAAAAAGTTTTAAATTAATTAAAATCTGTTTTATGTTCATATAACCCAGTAATTAAACGATATTCATGGCATGTTCTAGTTGTTAATTGTTGCTGACCAGAATATTAAACATTTATTTATTTAATTAATTTAATAAATTTAATTAATTTAATATATTTATTTAATTTAATTATTTTCATCATTCAATAAACGAAAATCAAGATGGCAATATTTTGTGTAATGAAAATATTTCATTTTTAATAAATTCATTTAATCAATTATGATGGCTTTTTATGAGAGCTTTTTTTCTGAGTTTATTTTGGCACATGAAACTTTTCACCAGCAACTGGTAACGAAGTGCCACAAACATCTTTTTGCTTGTAATCTCTCTTTTTTTTCTTTTCCTTACACTTTCTGGAGAATTTACGTGACTTTATTATGTAAGAAGAATGTTTGAATGTATACTATAAAATTTTAAGTTAACATTATTACAAGTTAATATAATTATATTTATAGTTATTAACATAAATGTTTAGAATACAAAATATAATTGTTTTAATGCAATAAATATTAAAAACGAGTATTGAATGTTTATATTTTGTGTTATTTACATGTTATTAACATTTGGACTACCACATTACTCATATGTAAATGGTGCTCAAATTTCCATACGAAACTGCTTCCATATGAAATCATATTATTAAGAATTTGTTCACCTACCTCATTGAAAATATTCGTATTAACTATTTGAAACTATAACAAATGTAATAAAATATTGTAAACGTATTTAGTACGATTTATTAAAAATAAACATAGTACCTACTACAATTGTCTACTGTTTCAGTCAAGTGGTATATAAGAAAATTGTATAGAGAGAGAAGGAAAGTGGAAATCATTGTGAACTTACCCTTATGTGTTGTCGCGTGATAAGCTCTTGCAGGTGTGGGTGGTCCAGGGGTGGCGGGAGTGGCCGCGACGTAACTACCCCCGCCACCCCCAGGGAATAACGAGTATAGCCCGTAACGATTCACACCTGTAACATCGTTAAAATGAAGATCATTCACACCATGACAGATACGTAACACACAACATTGTAATTTATAACATTATATGCATAATATTTGCATTCTGTGTCGAATTAAGGTAATGGTACCAGTAGTTGACCGCTTAAGAGAAATTTTTCATGTGAACAATGGACGCTTGCTTTCGTCAAATAACGAGAGTCGATGCTTGGAGACATTTTTTATGCCTAGATGAAAATTATGTTAGAAGACCACTTTTTAAGCATTGTTTATTTAAAAAATTGTATATATAAAAATTCAGTAAATGTGTTAGAAATTGGCCACTCTTAAAAATTAAAAAAGTAGTAATTCACCCTCTGTGTGCTAGTAACTGACCACTTGTACTAGAAGAAATATATTTCATTCGCGAATGTATATATTTCATACATTTCATACATATATTTCATTCGTGTTCATAACGTATAAACTTTTTCATCTGTACCTTACAGTCATTCTCAACGTTAAGGAAATAGAAATATAACGGCGTATTACTTACTTTTTATAAGTAAAGAAGCATTCTTCATTCAAGAAGCATAAGCAGAAGCATTTTTACAAAGTACTATGAAAAATTAAATTACTATTAAATATTCACTATTTTTCAATTTAATTGAATGAAAATATCAAAATATTGTAGTATTGATATACAAAATCATGTACCTCTAGTACGTAACAAATCAATAGTCGCAGACGTATATGAATTGTGTTTAAATATACAATAAAATTCTATGTAACAATAAAAAATTCGATAAATAACCACACCTACAACCACGTAGTTAATAATAAAATATTAATACTTCAATTGAAGTAAACATTCAGTATTAAAACCGAGTAAGAAGAATTTGTTCAAGTAAAATAAACAAATTAACCGAAAAAAAATATTAAAATCGAGTTTAAAAATTCTAAAATCATAAAATTATTTATTAGTAATAACAATATTAAGAAATGAAAAGAAAAAAAACGAAAAAAAAGACACTTGCCGAAACCCGGGATCGAACCAGGGACATTTAGATCTTCAGTCTAACGCTCTCCCAACTGAGCTATTTCGGCTGTTGAGAAAGCGTCCCTTTTATGTCGTACTTCTATGGATAAGAATGCAAACAGAGTGAAAAAAAGTTACCGTCCACTTGCCAAAACCCGGGATTGAACCGGGGACATTTAGATCTTCAGTCTAACGCTCTCCCAACTGAGCTATTTTGGCCGACGAAAATGCGGTTCTCCTATATCGCAGGGCTTCTTATATAGTCTGAGGACCGCTCCTGAACATTTTTTTGCGAATCCCATCCCAACTTTAGACATGTTACGTCGTTCTTGAGACGTAATTTCTTGCGCAATAATCTTAAAGGCAGTTCTAATAAATATTGGTGAAAATGTATGTTATTTTAATTTAAAACTGTGGTTATATTAATTCATGGTTTTTCGCATTTATATAGATGAATATTTTTATGGGGATATAGAATAAAAAATATAAAATGAATAAAAGTGAAAAGAATGAAAAAAATGAGAAATCCAAATTGCAGTATATTATTTATTTTTCTCTATTTGCAGTTAAATAAAAATAATTAAATTTTTACTAATTATTATTTAGTTATGTTAATAACTAGTTGAGTAACAAGAAATATGGAAAGTCTTGACCATGTAGGATTTTTATTGAATGAGTTATTTGAATAAAAGCAAAAAGTTGAGAGATGTAAAGTTAATATAAAAATTGTTTTGTGAACCCCCAGGGGTCTGCGAAATAAGGATTAAAATCCTATGCTATTTCATATGTATTTATATAGATAAAAATGTAAAAGAAAGAAGGAAAAAAATACAAAAAAAAGTTCTTGCCAAAACCCGGGATTGAACCGGGGACCTTTAGATCTTCAGTCTAACGCTCTCCCAACTGAGCTATTTTGGCCGATGGAAACCACCCTCCAAGAGTTACATTTTAGACCGTTTGGAACACCAATAATTTAATATCGCATGTTTTATGCACAATTTAATTAATTAACAACAGAATATACCATTTTTCATATTAATTTAAACTAGTGAACACGTACAAATTTCTGGAATATATACATTTATGTATTTTCATAACTGAAGATTTTTACATAATTTATGAAAATTATTGAATTTAACAAGGTAAAGTTAAATAGTTTAAATCACAATGGAATTTAGGTTAGTTGGTATTGTCTGAATTTTAATAGGTTAGGTTAATAGATTAGTTTAATAGGCTATTGTAAGTTAGATTAAACAGTCAAAACCAAAATAAAATTTAATTCAGCCTAAACAATCAGAATTATAATAAAATTTAATTCAACTCAAATAGTTTGAATTTCATTAAAATTTACTTGACACTTTTAAACGATGTCTCATATACTCTTACTAATAATCAACTGCTTAATTCTTATATTAGAAAATTATTGAACAACCTTAAAATAGTTATTTTTTCTAAAATTACCCTTATTACATATTATAAATTACACGTAAAAACATTTTAACATTTTGAAAACACTGAATGTTATTTCTTTTACTGCTATTGCCGTGAAAAATAAATTTGTATGTTTTTGAAATGTCTCATGTCTTTTTAAATATAACATTCATACCTGAAACTTTGCAATTTAAATTATAAAGTAAAAAATATATTTTGTAATTTAAAATGTGCAGCCACGTAGCTACTGTGGGATCCGCCGGATTAAAAGAGTAATTAAACAAATTTACGTTACCCAGGAAAACATAACCCCATATTTCTGTAAAATTATTTTTATAAATACTACTTTGCGGATTTTTGAATATACTCTGGTTTTTCACCTGAAGTTTGATAAACGAAATTTTATTATACAGATATATTTTAATTTTATAATTTTATTTAATTTATTCTTTAAACAGGTTTTCTCCATTTTAATTCTTTTGTAAATTGTTTTGAAGATAATTGTTTCACTATTTTGGAAGACAACGGTTTTATGATTTTACCATGATTGTTTACGATGAATTGTTTCCATTTTACATTTGCAAAAGCATGAATTATGTAACGACGTGAATACGCGTATACGAAAATGGACATGAATGAGTAATGAGTCAAATGAATTATACAATTTTTTATGTATTAAATTGTGCATTTCACATTAACATTTTCTTCGAAATTTTAATTTGTATGGCATACAATTTAATTTTCGTGATTTCCTTGTGACATTTATAATTACAATTTATTATAGAAATTTATTACGCAAATACTGATTTGTAACAATTCAGTAAACATTAAATTTTGAGACTGTTAAAAGATCTTACTCAAAAAATACTTATTAATTATTTCTTATAATTTTTTAAATTTTCAATCGGAAATTTGGAAATTTAGGGATTTGGGGATTTGGAGATTTCTGAATTTGGCAACATAGGAATTGGGGAGTTAGGTAATTTGGAAATTTAGAATTTGGAGATATGGGGATTTAGAAATTTAGGAATTTGGGAATTGGGGAATTGGGAAATTGAGGAATTGGGAATTTAGAAATTTGCGGATTTGGGGATTTGGAAATTTAGGAATTGGGGAATTTAGAAATTTGGAGATTTTGGGATTTCGGGATTTCGGGATTTGGAAATTTGAGGATTTGGGAATTTGGGAATTGGGGAATTGGGGAATTGGGGAATTGGAGAGTTTGGAAATTCGGAAGTTTAGGTATTTAGGAATTTGAAAGTTTATGAATTTCGAAATTTAGGTATTTGAAGATTTGGGGTTTTGAAAATTTTTGAATTTTTGAATTTAGGAATTTATATACACACAATGATTTCTTTATACTTGAAAAATTGCAAGCATCCATCATTTTTAATGTTCGTTATCTAATAATATTATTTTGACACAAGATACTTCGTCAATATTAAAAAATGAATATTTTTGTTTAAATATCGCAAACATCGCCATAAAGTATTAAATTATAAATTATAATAAAGAATGTATAATTTGTACAAGTATTATGTAAATACTTGTATATACTTGTACTTATATTTACAAGTATTCGAATTCGTATATTCACAGTTAATATATTTGTCGAACGAATTCAAATTAATTAATATGCAACTAACAAGTATTTTTGTGCAACTTAACAATTGTTCTGTATTTTTGTTTTGAAAGTAGTCATTATTATTAAATCTTCCGATTAATTCGACTAGACTACAAAATAAAAAAGTAGATTAAGTAATGTTCAAATTATCTTGTAGATAAGACCTACTGTTACAGAAATTGCGAAACATGATAACAATATCTTTACAAGTTTCATTAAGACCTTAACTGCCACAGTCTTCGTATTAATAACAAAATATTAGTAGCGAATATTGAAAACTACTTTTTCTTCTATTTTTATTAATATTCAAATTAATTAAATTACCGAATTATTAGGTTATTGCATGCTAAATAGAGAACTTTTGAGAAAGAATTTGATAAAAATGGCTGACAAATATTTTATCAATATTTTCAATACAAACTGGTTGGAATTTCGTTAAAACAAATAATAAATTACCTTGTTGCTTATTGTTGTACTTTCGTACATGTCATGTGTAGTTATTCAATTACCAACTGATTATATTTGAAAAAGTTGACAGACTACTTAATTTATTATATCATAAAGAATTTATAGCTTTTAGGTTATGAAATCTTATGTAGAGTTTGTTGAATATATACAAAAATACCAGGTATGGTAATAATCCTTATTTTTCAATAGATAACATTGAACTCATCAACCTTTCCATCGTACATTTCTTTTTTTAATTTTAAACAATTATTGTTGTAAATGATGAATATGATGAATCATTATGTAACAATGCAATGTTTTGTATATTATTAAGCACAGAAATTTATTATCAAACTTATTCAATTTTGTTACTATTTGTGGACTTATACATTTTGTATTTCAAATTATTGTTAGCTACCATGTTTTATGATTGTAACTTGGAAATATTTTTATATTTTGTTAAACTCCATAATTATGAAATTTTCTATTTAAAAGAAAAAATAAATGATTGATTAATTCTAACGTTGTGGTCTTTAAGGTTAATTTTCATGGCGTTGAAATATTCAGATATGGAAGATATGTGTGGAGCTGATACAAAATGTATGGAACATGTGGAGTAATCAACATGTGAGACTTTATTATATACCGCACTACACACTTGGGGATTTGAAAGATGTTTGCATATTTTTTACTTATTTTTTACAAATTTGAAAAATTTTAAAGTTCCGAAGTCTCAAATTTTTAAAACGAAGAACTACATTTGAAATATTTAATTTCTGAAATTATCAATTTGAAATTTTTTAATTTTCAATTTTCGCAATTGCTGAGTTCTTGTATTCTCAAATTACCAATTTGAAATTTTTTAATTTTCAATTTTCACAATTGCTGAGGTCTTGTATTCTCAAATTACCAAAATAAAAATGTTCAAATTTCCAAATTTTTAAATTTTCAACTTTATACATTTCCAAACTTCCAAATCTCAAATTCCTACATTTTTAAACCTCGAAGTTATTATTTTTAAGTTTCATATTATAGTGAATTTCATCCTTTACACTCGAGGTCTTTTTCGCTCTGGTGAACCAGCAACTCGAGAAGATTTTCCGCATACTTGATGAATTTTTCACACATAACTTAAAATGATTTAGTGTACAAATTAACATATAAAACTACTATATTTTACTATTTTATGCATCCTTACGTCAGAAAGAAGGAAATCTGTTAAATTATAAGCTTTATTTTTCTTCTTTGTCAGGTATTTTATAACACAATCGCCAAGATGTATCTTTGTCGGGGCAAGTATCGCAGTATGTTCCATATTTTTCCTGATGAATAAATTATAATTTTTCCCAAAGGTATAATACATATAGTTTAACTTTGATAATTTACTTTTTTAGAAAATTCACAAAATACGTAATTTCCAAATGTTTCCAATATCGTGTATTAATGCAAAGAGGCGCTCCCATGGTGCCTCAACTACTTGGTACCTTTTTATTTACATGTAATGTACTTTTGTGGGATTTGTTAATACTCTTATAAAACGTGGTGAAGGCAAAAAGGTGCGAATCAAAACATATGAAAAGGATCATTCAATTGAAACGGTGAGCAAGTGAGCCAGTTGAGTGAGCCACTAGTGGCGCTATGTAATCTACGATATTCGAGAAAGTCACTATAGTGGCGCATTGTGCCTAAGAGATTAATGCTTGACAGCACATAAGAATCTCATAGTATATTATTCTACGTAGGATATTTGTAACAGAATGCAAGGGGAGGGTTAATGATGGCAAATCTGAGCAGATGTGTGGAACATGAATGTACCTTGATTGTGAGCCGGTGCGGGGGTGGCAGCCAAGGGTGGAATGCCCTGAGACTGTTGACTCGGAAGCTGATTGGACTGCGCAGGCGCCAAGGGCCATAGGGTTGCTGCCGCGGCAGGGCCGGACGTTTGTTGAGCCCGGGCACCCGTATCGCCCACGGGACGATCCGCAGTCCCACTTTGGGCAACGGGAGGGACCAACATCGAACCTCCCCCTCCCGAGGCTGAAAACAAAACCATTAAACAAATTTATTAACGTTTCTTTCAATTCCTAATTTTCAACTTCCAAATACTACATTTGTAATATAACTTGTGATAGTGTTCTACAATGCAAAATACGCCGGTTGCTCCTTGCAATAAATATAGAAGAGAGACAGAATCTTGCGTAAGCTTCATTCTTTCTTTTCTTTTTTCATTTTCGCGTCCTCTCTTCCTTCTTTGTCTCCTTTTCTCTTTTTACTATTTAACCTTCGAAGCTGCTCTCTTTTACGTGTCTTATTGTCACGTTTTCTGGAGCTAATGGGATTATAGACTAGGTACCTCACACGAATTCCTTTGCTATACCACACTACAGGCAACTTACTAGAAGATAAAATACTATTTAAACAAAGCATACATTTTTCACTTTTTATGGCAACATATTGAGGCTCCGACTCGATTTGCATTTATTTGTTTGTCTGCAGGACTACAGGCAATTTTGGGTCTTTTGAAATTTTGAGGATAGACTCGTGAGATACCCTAAAGTTGTATAGATTTTGGCGGCGATCTGAAGACGGGAACCTGTCGTCATCGACGTTGATCGCCGTCGATCGATAAAGAACCGTGTTTTGGTATCGTTTTCGATAATTTTTAATACACAGAATCGACGGGAAGCACGTTGAAAGCTCTATAACTCATCGTTGACAATACTTGGTCGTCATTGAAGTCGGTCGTCGTGAAATCAAGAATAATCGTGTTTGGGATCGTTTCCGATAGTGTCAGACACGTATAATTGTTTGAAACGACTATAAAATTTCTACATCTCATTCTTGGTCTATCTACATACAGTAGGTACTCAAAATTTGAAATACACATTCGAATTTGCGTGAAACAAATTGATCTAAACCCATGGATCTAAACCCATTAGTTTAATATTTGTATTTTAAATTTATATTCTGACACCTAAGGCAAAATTAAAATGTTGAAACGTTAATAAAATCTTTGTATTGAGAGTATTGATCGTGCGTTTACATAGTAATTCACTGCGAACTTTAATCTTTTCACGGTGCCTTGATATCATCAAATCGTATTAGACTTTATGTTTCGAAATAGGTCATTGTTTATTTTAACCAGCTATTTTATATTGAAAATATTAATCAGTAATTTATACGGTAATTTTCGTCGAACTTTAAGCTTCAAATTGGTATTTAATTAACAAAGAACATGCGGGAAGTTTCCCACACGTGCCGGTGTGGATACGAATTATTTAACAGAACATGGACACTTTTCCGAGTATCAAATATTATGTTGTATAACATTTCATAACATTGATAACAAGAGTTTTATGTTTTAATATTATTTATATCTTTTTGTACACGTAAACATGTAGATTTATGTTCCAAAGGAGATTCAAATAAAAATCAAAATGTCTAAATTTGAATAAATTGATGCTAGAAAAAGGGGCATTTCATATTCTGTTAAATAATTCAAATGTCATATGTATCATTTCATCAGTAAAAATACATGTATGTATCATATGTATTTTTTTGCTATAATTTTATATCAAATCATGTTAGACTTCCTGGGTTTTGCAACTGATAATTTGATATGATACAATCTAATACTTTATATGTACGTATTATATGTATCTATTTCTTGTTTCGTCGAACATAACCTAATTGGGATTTACGGAATTTCTAATGAAACATTATGGTCTGCGAGAAATAATATATTTACAGTGAATATCTATATCCACGATATTTACATTTTGAAATATCTTATAACAAAATATTTCAACTTTCCTCGAGAAAAGTGAACTTTCAAAACTATCATAATCTTCTCGTACATAACCTAACATGGAACTTTAGGCTTCCATAAATATTAGTATATTAATTTAAAATCTAGTATAAAATTTTAATATATTAATTCAAAATCTAGTTTAAAATCTACTATTAAAATATATTATAATTAAAAATTAAGTATATTATTTAAAAAACAGTATAGTAAAAAATACATCTTCTACCAGAAGTAATTAAAATCGAGATATGTGTTTTTAATTAAAATTAGTTATCTAGTATTTGTAAATTAATATAAATTTCAGCAAAATTCTTTATAATACTACAATAGATAAAAATATTCAATGCATAAAATAAAAAAACTTATCACCGTCACTCGATGTAGCATTCCTACGATTACGAATTCCACGGAATTCTACGAAATAAATCAAAACCTGCATCAAAAACAGTTGTGTGAAATTTATGTAATTTCACACGAAATATTTCAAAGTCGAATTTCTGGACTCTGTTTTAAAAATATTTCAAACTGCTGTAAGAAATCAATATTTGAATAAAAATTTTTATATTTAAGTCTTCTTTTTCGAAACTCAACTTGTGGTTCTTCTGTTTTACATCTTCAATAATTTAAAAATGTTATTTTTTCATAATTCTTTTTCATTCTCTGAAATCGAAAATAATCACAGAGAGAATCAGGTGAATACGGTGGTTGTTTTATCAGTACTGTGTTATTTTTTATTACAAATTCACTAACAAGCAATAGCGTGTGAGCCGATCCGTGCTTTATCATGCTGTAATCTGCACTAATTATCACTTTACAAATTACACCATTTTTTACAAATTGCTTTACTTTGCTTTCTACCATGGCACTGCTAATTGCACAACGTCGACTCTTTGGATAAGTAAGTACAAGTTTCAGCTATAAATTTGAATTAACATTATTAAATATTCGCATTGTAATACTCAGTTATTAATTAGTTCTTTGTACGAGAAGAAATTTTTCATCGTTGAACATTATTAATTTTATGTATGATGTGTCTCATTTTTTTCGTAAACGTACAACTGCGAACAAGTCAGTCGTAAGAAAATAGTTTATTTTATTCTTGGCAACTCTATGGATTCAGATTTTGTGGCGCTGTATTATTTAATTCAACCCTAGTATTGCGTACAAAATGTCGGTTGGCGAGTATCGACATCTGTAATGTATCTGTGACTATTCAAATTATTACAATTCGAAAAAAAATAGTGTAAATTTTCGATACTTATAAATTCGTACATAAAAAAATGTAACCCTTAACGGTGACGCTTCATGAGAATAACATATCTGACATAATGGGACGTTAAAGTCACTGAAAATGTTTCTTACATAGTTTTATATGCACCGCCATTAATCCATGACTCACCAGGTGCGTCATAATACTTTAAACAACAAAGTCATTATTTTTATCACATTTTGGTTTTGTTCATTCTTTTAATACAATCACAAAAATGTTATTAGTCATTGAAATCTGTTTTTACCCTTCATGGTGACGCTTCACAAAAATAACATATCTGACTTAATGGAGCTTCGAAGACCTTAGCTCTTCGAAGGTTAGTAAAAATAATCTTTGGAAGTTTTAACATATTTCACAGCTGATTTCAGTAAATTTAAACATTGAATATGAAAAGAAATCAGAAATGTGAAAAAATTGAGAAAATGATGGTTTTCACAGAAAAATTCAAAATTTTTGTCGTTCTTAACACTTGATTTACAGAAACCGTAAAAATGGCGGATCACAAATCTCTTATTTTAAATGACAAAACTTATTAAGTTTTGTCAGAAATTTTTGTAAAAATATATGTCAACTTTCAAGCTAAAGAACCAATGACTTAAGCAGTTCACATATCATCCTCAATTTATTTATTTTTCTGCATTAGTTCAAATTTAAATATAAGTAACCATCAAACGTTCGCAAACCTAGTGTTGTATAGAGCCAAAATTTTAGCTAACACTTCTGAGATATAACAGTTTGAGAAAAAAAATAATAAAAATACCAAACTTTTAAAAGAAGTGTTTATGCAGATTTTCAGGATACGTGATTGAAATTGAAGTTAAATTGGTTGGGGTCGTTCAATACCCCTGTGTGACCGTTAAGGGTTAAACAATGTCCAAAAACCATAGTACAATTCTTTATAGATAGATTTTCATAAACAAATATTTCTAGATAAATTTTTGTACACAAATTTTTATAAATAGATTTTTACCAAATTCTATAGGTCTATAATGTTTTTTAAAAATTCAACAACATGAACGAATAAAATATGAAGAAACCTTAAGGTGCCCTATGACTTATGAATACGAGTGAATACTTAATTATCTTCCCTCTCCACGGAGTAATTTGATGTAGTTTTAATTTTCAATTATGAATTTAACGACCGTAAACTTTGCAGGCTATACAGCAGGTTGGAAGAAGTCATGAATAATGAAAAAATGCTAGCCCTGTATTTCATTCCGTCATACTATGCGATGCTGCATAACATTATACGCACACTTCTTTAACTTATGTTTTTACTGAAAATAACGCGGAAATGATTACTATTTTAATGATTAGAAAAAAAGAAAATTTAGTAATTAAATATTATTCAATTTGGGAATTTTGGATTTTGAAAATTTGTGAATTTGAGAGTTTGATAATTTGGAAATTTGGATATTTGTGGATTTGGGGATTTGAGGATTTGGAAATTGGGGAATTAGAAAATTTGGAAATTTGGGAATTTGAGAATTTGGGAATTTGGGAATTTGAAAATTTGGGAATCTGGAAATTTGAAAATTTGAGAATTTTGAAACTTGAGACCTTGGGAATTTGGGGATGGAATACTTGGTAGTTTATACATTTCTGAATTTGAAACTTTGTGAAATCGAAAATTAAAAAATTCAGGAATACGTAGATTTTAAACTACGAAAATTTCTACATTATGTTTCATATTAAAATACTTTCCAAAAGGATTACCCGTTCCTTTGTAGCTAAATCTCCTCTATATCAAAAACAATTATCTTTCAATTTAAAAATGATTAATCTAAAATTAGTAATTGTACCTTCAGCTCGAATTACTTAGGATTTATTTATAGACGAAGAAATATATTTTGTAACCAGTTTTACCCCATTTTCCCCAACACTCGCTTTGTACCATTAATCCTCGATTCTCGACCAGGCATATAACATGTCGTACGCAGCAAAAGGGTTAAGCGCATT